ATGAAGCAATTTCCCGTCTTCTGATTTCAAAAAAGTTCCTTTTTTCTTAACTTATTTTTACTTAAATTACTTTGCTTGCAATATCTGTTAAGAGAAAACTTATACAGTGAAAATTTAGAAAATGATATAAGAACATTATTTGCTTGAAGAACTCTATCACAGTTCTTCAAGCAAATAATGCGTGGAGGTCATCGTTCCAAATTGGCTACGCCAGATTTCTTATCTCAAGCATCACAATGAAATTTGCAGGCTTGCTCTGAAACATGCAATTTTATGCTCCTCGCAGCTGTATTTCCAACTGCAGCGCCATTAGTTTGCATACTGCAGCTTTACTTAGCAATTCTTATTTGACAACATTTTAAAATTTGATACAAATTGGCTTTTTTCTGAACGAGTTATAGCTATTTACGTGAATTTTTCCTTAATTTTTGGAAACAGTACAGGTACTTGATGATTTTACAGAATTCATATGAATTACATAAATACATTTAAATTACATAGTACATTTAAAAAAATCTGAATGAATTATTGATGCATGAAAAATGCTTAGATAACAAAGATGAGAAAACGCCACATAGAGGAAAATAGAATAAAATCAAAAAGCAATTAATGTAACAACTAATATAAATAAATATAAAATAGTAAATATAGACCATGTGCATCCACAGACAAATTATATAGATAAGTCTCAAACAACAATAAATATTCCAAACAAATCAAATTTTTGTGAAGTTTATTTTTAGAGTTTACACAATAAACGTACTTTTGAATATCACATTTACTACATGTGGAACTTCAAAGTTATCTTTACTGGAATTATATTTTCTAATAAGTAAAATTTTATAAATCTGATATTTGCAGGTCAAATAGCACTATACTGAAGAAAGGTTCTGAACAGATGACTAGTGCTGAGTCTGGCAATGCAAATAAAAGGCCTTCTGAAGATGATCCCCAAACAGGGAAAAGAATATGCAGTAATCAATTATTAACATGATTTTAAAAAACAAGTACGACTATGTACTGTACATTTTAAAACTGTAAATAATAATTTAATAATTATTTTTATTATTAAGCAGTCTTTGTTTAGCATATATTTTTCAAAGAAAAATACTGACACTTTTATTTTCACTATTCAAAAGCATCCCTTTAGTTGTTAAAAACGAAAAGTTTTACATTAACGAAACGTTAAAAACGAAAAGTTTTACATTATTTAACGAAAGTTTTACATTATTATTGCCTAGCATAAATTTACGATAGTTCTAAATATGACCTAAACATTGCAGTCTACTGGAACATATCTTGAGTTTTCAGAGTGCTAGACATGGCCCACAGTGATATAAAAGTGTATTTTAAAAACAGGGGAAACTCCATGTTTTTATGAGACAGCATGAGAAGCGTGCACTTGTCCTTTCATAAAGAAATGGAAAATAAAATTGTTCATTTTTTTAATGACAGTCTTCATGTATGCTTGTGTAAAATATAAATAAATAGTAAAAATATTTTATGATTAACTGCTATACTTACCATTCTAGTCCATATTGGCACAAACCCTTTGTATAAAGCCATAAATCCTTCTTCATGTACTGTCTTTAAAAGGCAATCAATAGAAGATTTGTAAAATAAACCCCTAAAATAAAATGTTTATCATTAAAGTTTCATTTTATGAGAATGGATGATGAAAAGGTTTATGAAAGGGAATATTTATAATTGAAAAAAAAAATCAGTAATAATCTGAGATTGCTGAGGGGGGGATTATGTAAAGAATGTCCACGTTTGTCAATAACAGCTGCTATACACTGGCATACTTGCCAACCTATGACACTCAAAAATCAGGAGATTTTTTAAGAATCAGAGATTTTCACATGTAAAAAGCTTTTAAATGATAAAAATTGTTTTTAATAATGATTACTTAATGTAATAATTCTTAAATGCCGCAAACAAAATACTTACGCATAAAAAACATTTTTATTACCTGCTCCTTTAAGGGGAGGAAAAAAAAAAAGGAGGGATTTTAGTTAGTTCTGATTAGTTTAGTCACCTAATTTTGTTCACTGCAATTGCACGTAGGCCCCTAGAAAATTTTTCTAATGTGTCATCACTAATATTAGATCTAAATTATCTGTTACGCACAACCTGAAATCCTTCACACTCGCCTACTATGGGAACTGTCAAGATGGCCAACACAATTCTAGACATTACTATATTTTAATTCCATCAGCACCTTTCATTTCCATAACTCCACTGGGTGTCATCCTAGCTGATTTTATAACTTCATTCAAGTTTTCTAATGTAACGCTGTTATGCAACTGTTGAACTGTTTCCATTTTTCCTTCCTTTAGACTCCTTTCAGATAATATAAATATCAACAGTGTTCTCCCATTTTGGAAAGAAGCTGCCTTTTTCAGCGCTAAATTAAGAGGTACATTGCACCTCATAATCTGCAAATCTGAATTTTCCTTTCTTAAGATAATTGCAACACCATCTTAAGCCTACCAATACTGGTGCATTATCGGCACCAAGTGCTAATCATTATCCAGGGCCTCATTTTCTTTTAAGTAATAATTAACTGTAGATGTACAATTTGCTATTAAAAGCCATTTAGTTCAATTATAAATTAATGGTTTTATTTCTCGCGCAGTTCAGCGCGGACGATATTAAAGAAAGCTAAGCCGAAAAATAAAATACAGAGTGCGTGCGTTAACTAAAAATATCTTTTTGATTTCGAGAAAGTAATGGAAATTCTAGCGCGTGATTTTAAAATCTATAAACGAGGAAAACATCTCAGTTCGATAGTCTTGCTTGTTTGTTGTTGTTTTAAAACTGCTCTTGTTATTTAGCGATCGCGGATTATGTTCTTTAGCTGTTTTGAATATTTCTATTTGGTTTGTGTAGTTAAAAGATACTCTGTGAGATATTTGTACGCTGTGGTTTAGAAAATGAACATTTTTTTGTGATAATAAAATTTTTGTTCATTTTTCATCGGACTGTGCATTCATTCAAACGAACCCGACGCACCAAATTTTTTGTGTCAGAAGTGGGTATTTGAAACCAACAACAAGAGGGGGGAAACAATGAGACAGCTCATACTGCTTTGCTGCTTCCAAGAAAGAGGAACGCCACATCTTTTAAAAAAAAATTAAAGAGAAAAGGAGCGGCAGGCAGTGAAAAGAAAAACAAAGGGCCAGAAATCTCAAAGGAAGAAAAATTGCCAGAATCCTTAAGGAAGAATGAATCTCTTAAAAATGAGATAAAGCAGGTCGGACAAATGAAAAAGAAATTACCTGCTAATAGAATAAATTTGAGGCTATGGAAGGCAGAATAGCGGGTTGAAACTAAGTTGGACATATAGAAGAGAGAGTTCTGCCGTCGACACAAATTGATGATGGGTTCTGCTGCCTCGCCAAAGAGTACACCTCAGAATGGCTGCAACGGTAGGAACAATCTGAAGGTTTCAAATTTTTATCGATGCCTGCTCGTTCCTTCTGAACATCTACTATGATGGCAGACTCCTGCAGATGATAGGACACATTTCTATTTTGCTGATGCGAATGGGTGGATTCCCAGCTAGGCCTTCATCCCCCGCTTCTCTGAGGCAGAGCAGCGATATCTGCAGAAGTTCCCGAAAATCAAAGGCTAATTTCGAAGCTCTAACCGGCGCTTTGGAGCTGCGCTTCGCGAAATTTTAAAGACTAAGCAGGCTCAATTAATTCGTCAACAGACTCCCAAACGTTCAGGAGCCCACGGATGTTAAAGGCGTCCACCTCGCCTTTCGGAGTGCCGACAAACAATGAAATCCTCTCCCTGCAATTTTCATCGATGCATCCGGGACCCTGAATACAGAAAGCACTGCGAATGGCAGATGTGAAGGACATAAAAAGCGCTCTTTGTACGCCGTAAAAGTCTAGGCGCCCAGCAAGCACTCGTAGATAGCCACCCAGTCGCTGTGCGTCCACGACCAGTGGATCAATTGATGGCTCTTTTAGATCATTTATCCAGACAAGTCGATGCTTTGATACGGAGTATCAGTGAGATAAAGTAGCTGTAAGGCGTTGAAGATGTGGTAGTGAAGGTCACCTAAGACGGAATTGCAGAACACTCCAGGGTACGGAATATAATCAGATGATTTTTACCAGACAAGTCAGTGGCTTGAGACGGAACAGAAGTAAAAGAAACCATCCTAAAGTGCTGGAACTGCGGAGTTGAAGGCCACATACGAAGAACTGCAGAACACCCCAGGTACGGAAAATAACCATTTTCCCAGCAACGACGCAGTAAACAAATTAGTGATATCGAGAACGGAGTTTGCCAGATAATGAAAAACCTTGTTTTAAGCGCTTAAAATTTAATCGGTGATACAACAGTACGGAATGTCCATTAATGGGTAATATCAATGGAGTTCCTTGCAATATATCTTACACAGGACTAATATTACCATCATTAGGAAAATTTAGCTGAACAGTTTAAAAGATAAACTTATTTGGACGCCTCCTGTGTTACCTGTGTTTGTGGTGAAAAGATCGCATAGCTGGAAGTTAAACGTGAAAATCATTGGAAGTGCCGCCTACCATCACACAGCATATGTGGGATATTACGATCCATGCATCCGATTGGACTTTTTAAGGAATACAATTTTTCCTTAGACTTGAAAACAAAAACTGCTTTCAGGATCTGAAGACTGACTATCCATCCTCGAAGGGATCCTCACCTGAAATGCCGACGCTTTGTCCGAAAGACCAGCTCGGAAACAGCAGAAATCATGCTAGGTGAAAGAAACACCCGACTACCAGCTATTCTCCATCTCAAATGCTCTTCGTCGAGACCTTCGTCTCCTTGTGACCGCCTTTTCCTCGCCGCGCTTTCATCGCCTGAGGACACATCCAGATGTCAAGCCCCGTTTTGAAGTGATGCCCGTCCCGCACGAAAGCGAGTGAACTTGGCGACGGAGAAAGTGAAGATCAGATCAACGCGAGAGCTACTGGACATAGATTCAACAAAAGAGACAAGGTGGGTTGTGGAACCCGATTCGGCGAAAAGGAGTCAGGCCTGAATTACAGTCACCTTCGATGGTCCATAACAGTCCTGAAGAGACTGATGACGTCATGATCCGTAAGTGTTCGAACTCTAAACCTAAAGTCGTTCATTCGACATGTTAGCTCACTACAATGGCCATAGTACATAATGTAAATAATGTAAATAGTATAAACCATGGTCCTTTTTGTTTTTAAATGTGTATTTGATTTGATTGTATTAGTATTTGATTGCATTAGTATCTGATTTGTATTTGATAGCATTTGATTTGTTTTATTTATTGCATTTATTGTTCATGTTGTTAATATTGTAATGTAATGCTTATTAATGCATTATGCCACAGTTGTAAGTTTAGCTTCCTGTCCAGGGATTTACTGCCCGGGACGTGCAGTCCCTTGGGAAGGGGGCTTGTTACGAATTTGCTATTTAAAAAGCTAATGTTAGTTCAATTATAAAATTAAATGGTTTTATTTCTCGCTCAGTGCAGCGCGTGACGAATATTAAAGAAAGCTAAGTCGGAAAAATTAAAAATACAAGAGCGTGCGTTAAAAAATAAATATCTCTTTTTGATTTCGAGAAAGTACTGGAAAATTCTAGCGCGTGATTTTAAAATCTTATAAAAGGAGGAAAACATCTCAGTTCGTAGTAGTTGCTTGCTTAGTTTGTTGTTGTTTAAAAACTGCTCTTGTTGATTGTAGCGAATTCGCGGATTAACGTTCTTTAGCTGTTTTGAATTACGTTCTATTGGATATTTGAGTAGTTAAAAGATAACTACTGTGAGATATTGTAATACTGCATATAATTTGAGAAAATTTAAGCATTTTTGTTGTGATAATAATAAATTTTTGTTCATTTTTCATCGGACTTGTGCATTCATTTCATAACGAACCCGTACGCACGCAACAGTATATTAAAGCCTGTCAAATGTCCTTCTAAAATGGGGACAGAAAGTAAACTGAACTCAATTTCTGAAGAATCTGGATTAAAAAAAGAAAAAACAATTGGATACAGTTTTGAATCGGTATTATTGCTTCCATCCGTAGAGAGGCAGAGCGGAGCTGTTTTGTGCAATCAATAACTGAAGATTTATTTTTCAAACCCATTTCTTTAACAATTGCACCTGTTTTGGTTCTTGCACTTGAGTATTTCTTAGCAATTTCACTATCGGGGAACATTTTTCTAAATAAAGCTGCAGCGTGATCCGATGCATTCAGTGTGGCAGGTTGTGCTCCAGTAAAAAGGCAGAGAACAGAATTCTGCATTAATAACTTTTTCGTCCTTTGTTTTCGTTTTTTTAAAAAACAACTCATGTTATCCTTGTGTTTTTGTGTTCGCACATGTTAGAGAACATCCGCCCTTCCACATTGCGAATTCGAAAAATCGCAACGACAGGCGGTGCACTTCGCAAATTTATTACATTTCCTTGAGGAAATAATGGAAGGAAGTCAACTGTACGATTTTTGAAACGTACACGAGTATTTCATTCTCGCAGACATTACAAAAGATGATAATTTCTAAAACTATTTCCCCAAGGCACGTGCACTCACACAACTCAGCACAAATTGAACGAAATAACTAAAGAACATCCAAATAACAGCTTGCCTTGTCCTCATTGGCTAATATATGCCAGCTGACACGCAGTGGAGTTCGATGCCCATTGGAGAACTGCAGAACGACGTTTTCTCACAAAGCAGAATTATCTGATTCACAAGGTTTTGTTTTAGATATTATCTAGAAAAAATTCAATTGCTTTCAGACGTCTAAAATCCCCGCCCCTCTTTTTGTGTGTGTGTGTGTGTGTGTTCATATAACAATGGTATTAAGCCAAGTTCCAATAAAACTCGTAAGAAATTTTAAGAATAAGAAAAAGTCGGGAGAAATATATTGTAAATCGGGTTGGCGGGAGATCGGTCGAAAATCGGGAGTCTCCCGCCTAAATCGGGAGAGTTGGCAACTCTGCACTGGGGCTTTGAGGGAAAGCGGCTTTGGCTGGGAATGCCTCTACATGTAGCCAAAGTTAATTTGGTATATCAGTGGATGCTGAATGTTGGGCTATGCATTCTCCATTCATTGACAAGACATGTTTAATTGCAACAGACAAGCCCGGTTAACAATACAATATGATGGGCTAAGAAGAAAGCTTAAACATTGTATGCAACATAAGGTCGCAGATTGTTAAAATGTGGCTGCGGGTAAGCCCTGAATGTAAGGAAGAAGAACAGGCTGCAAGATATCAACATACATAGCACTGGCTGGTAATAATTCCATTAATGTATGCTGATGGTGCAGCCATGAAATCCAGTCCACCCCACAACATCAGATGCAGAACTAGTAGGTGATGCATAACATAACAGTCGAGCAAGACCTTTAGGGTACTGCAGGCAGAAACATGATTCGCCCCCATCATGCCATTTGGACGTTCATCTACTCTTCAATACACCATTGCAAACACCTGTAATTTTAGCTTTTGAGGAGAGCTATTAGTAATAATTAGATGGACCTTTGAAGATTGGCATACCTAGACATAAAACTATTTCTGAAAGTAAATATTTTTTTTATTTTGATACACAGAAAAATAAACAGGTACTCAACACTTTCTCAAGTAAACCAAATCAGTTACAAAAAGCATAATACTAAGCTGCATCACCCAGTCACTAAAACCAATATCACATCTGCTAGCTATGCTATACATCAAAAGAAACATTTCTCCCGGAATCTTCACTTTTGGATATCCGATTATTTGATTTACGCAGAAATCTTTCTTTGGAAAAGCGAAATATTTTCGAACTGAGTTTCAAAATTTCAGTGTCTCATATAGGATAGTCTGAATATAGTTTCTAACAAAACCAGTTCAAAGAAGCTCATATCTCAGGAAAGTTTTTCCTACCGTTGCAAGAAGAATTAATCCAATTAACACTTGCAAAATCCTAGAAATGCCTGTTTTTGCAGCTTTACTCGACTCAAATATATAATATATAAAAAAGGCTATGTGGACTAATGCCACATAGCCATAGTGGTGGGCACTTGCTAGCAACATTAAATTTGTATGATGTGTTAAAAAAAAAAAAAAGGCTACATTGCTAAAAGAGAATAAAACATTTACATACAAGCAAATATAGCAAGCTGAATATTGGCTAATTGCAGGCTGTATTATTGAAATATTATATTTTTAAAACAAGATTTGCTGCAAATATGGATATCCCTTTCTTATAATTCTATCAATAGCACTTTCTGTGATAGAAACTATCAAACCAAAAACTATCTGTCCAAACTGATATAATCAATTTTAGATAGTTATAAATAACTACATATTCAATCCTAACTGTAAACAAACAAACAAAATTAAACTGATTTATTTGCAGACTTCAATTATCAAAATCATATAAACATAGGAGGCTTTAAAATGAGAGAACTCTTGACAACAGAAAAGTTTTTAAAATTTCATGTGAAAGTGATTTTACAAAGAAATGCATTATAATCTACACATGTTTTTGTTTACAGATAATGTTATAAAACCATGCAGTTAACCATGTTCTCTAAAACCAATTTCCAAGAGCAATATTTGTCTGCAATATGAACTTTGGGTTTGTCTTAATGATGAAGCCAGTTTAGCTGCACACAGGGAAAAAAATTAATTCTGAAATTAAATAGTCGATATGCAAGTAGAGAGAATCAAGAGTCAATTTGCAAGTAAGATTCATTTTTATCAAATTGAGCAGGAATTATTAATGCAAGCTGAACTTATTTGTGTGCAAATCAAATATGAGTTAGATGAATTGCTTAGTTTCTGACAAAGCATGGGAGGGCTCTCTGCCTAAGAGAAGGGGTCTTTGCAGAGGATTTGCTCAGGAAAACTAGCTCATATTCACATATGGGGAAATAATGAAAACTTCCATGCAACTCGCCTGTTGCATGTTTGGAGTTGAGCTTAAGCCAAACTAGAGGTATTCAAGTGTTTTTAACCACCAGTGACTTGAATGTGAGAACTAACAATAAAATCAACAAAGGGTTAAAAATATAGAATGAACTTCGCCCTAAATGTATGAAAGGAAATTTATTCGGAAAGAAAATTTAATAATTTATCAAATAAAACTAGCTTCTTAAAATGTATGTGCCATAAATAGTTATAATCTGTTAGCATATTATTATCTTTATATTACTTAAATTTTTCATTTTGGAATGTATTTTCAGTTATTTATTACTGTATACAAAATACACACATACTTGCCATTATCTGTTGGTTGATTCATTATCCGAGTTTTAATCACATCAGCTGGTGTTCCTAATGTAGCAGCTATAAATCCAGAGCAACTACTGTAATTAAACAAAAAAGAAAATTACAGTAAAATAAAGTTAATATATTAAACTAACGGCTACCTAATTTCATTGCAGTAAAAGAATAAAAAGTAAATTCGAAATAATACTGTCGGCATTTCTTTTAAATGCTTAGCATTGTCTCAGTTATCTGAAAATAGGAAAGCCAAAGAACATTTCAATTCATTTAATAACGAACAGGAAGAGTAGTATACTATATTTACATTCTGTAACATTTAGAAAATAATATTGAGTAATATAAAAGTATATTACTTAAATGAATCATTAATATTATTTTATCAATATTTAATAATCTTGATTAAACAATAAATTAGTTCATTTGTTTACCTTCCTCCAAAATTTGCATTTTTAATACATTTCTTGTGTAAAAGTACATTGAACATCACAACTGGTGCTGCAAAAAATGTTAAATTGCAGACTTTGTATGAAATACTGAAGCCAATACAATCAAATGTTTAGAACTATAGTGTTTTTATGTATTTTGTACAGATTTTGCATTAAAGATTAAGGGTAAAGCTCATGTACATTGCTTTTATTCATTTATAAATAATCATTGATTTTACTGTTTACTATACATTTCTGAAACAGTTTTTAAATAATGTTGAGAATCTGCTTACGTGTGGATTGACTTCTTCCCAAAAACACTCGATTTTTTTTTTTTTTTTTTTAAATTAGCAGGGTGAGGGAGGACAAGAAATGTAAAATAATTTTAAATAACTACATACCACAAATGCATAAAATGGTATTGGATATTGGTGTCATTTACCACCATCACAAAATGAGCACAAATATGATATAAACAATTAAAATTTACCAAGATATAACTGCACACATACTTGAAATTTTGCTGGCAGCAAACAGAAAGCCTGCCTATGCTATTATCGTAAATAACTGCTTTGAATGCCTAGAACAATGGCCATCTCCAACTGAACTCTAGCATTTTTGCAAAAACACATTTTTCTGCGATTGACTATTTTTCATTATTTTATATTTTATACAAATCAGCATTGCAAGTCTCAAATAATGCACTATATCATCTACAAAATCTGTTAATTATGATGGAAGGGTAAATACTGTGATTCAGAACTGTACAGTATGCCAAAACCCCTATCCTGCATATAATTCAAGAACCAACTGCACTTAATGGAACTTTTAAAATATTTTCAATAATACAGATAGTTCCTGCTCATTCTTACATGAAAAATTCGTTCTGCATTAAAGAATTAAATTCCTTTAATTATACTCTTGCTGAAATTGAATATTAGACATTATGGGAACATAATTTAAATACTAGATTTACAACAGAATTGAATTTTTAAAACTCTTAACAATTATGAATAAAAATATGCAATAATAATAACCGTATACAATAATAAGCAAGTGAAGACAGAGTACTTGTGAAGCATACGAGTCCAGACATTAATAGTGGGTGTCATGGTAATCTAGAGCTACAGTCTGGTTGACTTTTTTTCTTAGTTGGTAAATATAGACTAGCTTTCTTGAATATAGCTTCAGAGCATGGCATAGAACAGTTTGAGCAAGCTAGCTGATAAGTTTTAAAACTGCCTTAATTTATTTTTTCCCATTATTAGATGAAATAATGTGCTATGTTTAGAGGAGTTTAAAATTAATGTGTTCTGAATCTGCAGCTGGACAACCACGGTATTTCTAGTATATTTGTGCCTTTGTGGCACAAATATACTAGATGGGGGGGGGGTATGAGTGTGATTTGTTTTATGTGAAACTTGTGAAGACTGTTAATGAAAACTTTTTAAATGTATGCTTATGTATAGAGATGAAACATACAGAGTTTATGCAGAGCATTTCACTGTGGAAGGCTTTAAAGATGGTTGCATGCAAATAATTGACAAAGTATGGCTTGGTAGGCCATCCACTATAATTACAGATGTCAACGTTGCCAGCCTGTAGGCGGAAAATGAACAGTAAACATTCTGAAAAATGCATTCATGTGGATCCATAAGGAAGATAAGATCATATTTGTGGGAAGTCATTTCAACTATTCCTATCTTCATATGATTTTATAATCGGCTTAGATATTAATTAAAAACTCTGAAAACATTCATTCTCGCACTCATTTTTTCAAGTAGCAACAGTCTTGCATGCTGAAGATAAAAATTCTTTATTTCGAAAGTGTTGCTACTGCTCACTTTCAAATCGTAGAGTTAGTTAACCAAAATTTGTAAGTTTTACAAAATCTCTCTATATAAAAAAGAATGCCTGTTTGTCTGTTCACGTTTTTGATTTCTGATCAATTATGATCAATTTTTTTGCCACATTTAATCAACTAAAATTGAATATACGTGAAATATTGGATGGAATTTGAGCTTTTATGACCATTTGATTAAAAGACAAAAATCACTAAAAACTACATGCCATTGTTGCTGATATAATGAGAGAGAATTGGTTTATTTTCCTATTGAAATTTTTTATGTGGGTTCCATGTCGCATCAGACTGAAAAATGTACGACTATGAATCATATTTTTTGCATCATTATTAGAGAAGGATTACAGTGGTATCGTTGTCTCTGTTAGATACATTACTCTCAATCTAACTTAACTGGCATTGGATACTTTCACTAGTTCTGAATAAAAGAATCAGTCTTAAAACTTTTCAGTTAGCTGACACGTATCTGTTACACTGGACTTTGAATTTATCTCAATGCCTGTTGTACTATATGTCATTTATTGCACTGTTGACATTTCAGCAAGGTTAAGGACATTGCTGCCACCGGAAGCCAGACATTTATGGGAAAGTCATCACAATTTTTGTCACCTAATATAACCCACAAATATTTAAATAATAATGATAATAATAAATACTATTAACAGTATAAAAACTACAATACAGCATTTTACATCAAATAAAATAAAGCATTATAAACAAATAAATTTGTAGTTTAACTCACCTAGCTAGCATGTGTGTTAACCAATTATCTTTCAGATTTGAATGTTTCAGTATGAAATGTTTACTGTTTTCATATGTAGCAAGATCTGAAATATATATTTTGTTAAAAATAAAACTTTTTTTTACATACATTTTTTAAAATATATTTCTTACAAAAAAGATACGAGAAAAATAGAGATTAAATAACAAATTTAATTTATATAGAAAAAAAGCCAAGATTTTTTTATTAAAAGGATATAACAATAATCCAATACTCAGATTTGCATATAATTAATTTCTCTGGAAAAAAAAAAAAAAAAGGCTGACTAGTTTTTATAAGTAGGGTCTCTTTCGGGGGGGGGATGACATTCAGCAATTTTTCGGAATAATGCTTGCATTAATATATCAGGTACATCAAATTAACCATAACTTCATAGTAACACCTCCTAATTTTGACAGGATTACTTAATATTGTAATATCCAATTCAGAAAATTAATGTTTTTTAGATTTAATAATTGTGATCTCTGAAATTAAAGTTTTAAAAAAGTTTTCACAATGATAAGCAATTACACTAAAAAATTAACATACAATAAAAAAGTTTCGTTAGTAAAAAATTTGAAAAAAAAATATAATAGTAAGTATACCCTAAAATAGTTAGAAACTGCAAAATTAATTTAAAAAAATTGTTTGAGGAGGAGATACAGATAGCAATATGTGTGCATGTGTATATATGTATTTAAAATTATGGTAAACACATGAAGTTGTCAGCAAATTACAATACTTGGTGATGGAAGACTGCTCGTATAACTTCATGATTTAAGACAGACTAGAATTATTAGTATTATAAATAATTTGAAATTTACTGTTATATTTAGATCATGTCTAATCTTAACATATGGGATGTTTTTCATACCTGCACTAATTGCTCTTCTTCATTTAGCATTTAAAAAGTTAATGTACACTCCAACGAATTTCAACACACACATTGTACAGAATTGACCGGACAGCTCATGAAAATGCTGAGCCTTTCAAGCGGAGGGGTGTATAGCATTTGTTAAATGCACTGAATTGAAATGAAAATATACAGTTCTTTTATATAAAAAGCGTTTACTATTGTTATATGTGTACAGTTTAAATTTATACACATTATCAAGAAATGAATACATAGCAAATTTATGCTTTTGCCATTTTGAAATTAAACAATATCTATTTAAAAACAACAATGAAAAAGAAATCAAATATATATATAATGGAGGAGGTATATTTTCTTCTTTAGTATCAACACTTCAAAAAATCTGATGTGTACACCACGACTTCCTTGTACGGAATATTAATTATACCATTTTTCTTTCATTCATTTAAATAATCTACGTTGCCGACACTCATAAACCACATAGAATAATGCATTCTTAAATTCCTTTATATTTGATTATCATAGCCACACACTGGGTAATTCCTTCACAGTATTATATTCTATGACAGTTAACTATATAATATATATAGGGAAACATAATTCTATAAGTTAACTTATATATTTCATTCATATATACTCTAATGCACAAAATTTAAATCATTAAAGATAAATATCTAATCGTTGCCACATGTCTATCAAATACTATATAAAGCCAAATATTATAAAGAATAGGCAAACAAACAAAAGAACAATTTTTCACAGATATTTAGTATTTCTCATTCATTAATTCGTTTCCACTTCTGAAAAGCAAAAATGCTAAAAACTCAAAGATAATAGTAAATACGAAGTAAATCTTACACTTATTTCCTTGAAAAATTCCGAAAGAATTAGCATATTTAATTGCATAATAAATGATGCATTATCTTGTTGTTGGGAAGCTAATTTCTCTAGATTGGCAACAATCCACTAGTCTCTGTTTCAAATGTAACATCAATGGCCGCCATAAAAAAAAGGCTTAGCACACTTAGACAACTTTAAAATTGTGAAATTCTCAAATATTGCATACAAATTTACTAAAGCATAAAACCTTAACTTGAAGATAAAAACAACATAATACAATTTTTTAAGCAAAAAAATGTACATTTACAAACATATAAGAGTAAGAAACTGAGATCACTGAGCCAGGTAACAGTGGTTATATATATAATATATTTATATACCTTGGTGAGGCTGATTGCACCAAAATATGAGGTGCACATCTACATGTTATAGCAGTCTATATACAAAATTCAACGTTCTGAGGCTACTATTTTTTTGTTAGGTGAGATACGTTCGTACAGACGCCACGAAAATTCTCTTCGAATTAATTTTAAAGCATTTTATAATTTATTTGAAGGAAAAGAGTATTTTATTCTGTCCTAGCTACAGATTCACGCAAAAAAACATCGTTAATTGCATTCGATAGCGGTCAAAATGGATATTTTCGTTGAAATATGCTGCCTGAAACTTTTTGCGATTACAATTCTTCCTTTTTACTTCGTACAAGGAAGTAAAAATAAAATGTGAAATATGTTTTAAGATTTCATAATTTATCCAAGTCATTTATTTACAACAGTCTACTACTACTACTATTTTACAATTTATGACTTCTGACATATAGAGGGTTAATACAGTACAAAGTCCGAAATCCAGACATCCATTATATGGAATGATATAAAATCCGGACCTCAAAGCCACAAACCTTTTTTTTGTATGCTTTATGCATTTGATTTTTCCTTCTGTAATAAAACGTGGAGATTTTCACTTAAATATTCCGATTCTTAATTTCACTTAGGCACTAAATAAAATACCTCGTTATGGAAAAACAATCATGTAAGCATAATTTTGAGAGATTAATAATTTGGCTCCATAGCTGAGTATCTGCTTGGCATACATCTCAAACCGACACATTCACCTATTTTATATCCCTGATGCCGACCTGGCAAGTCATTTTTTTTTTTTTCAATGGCAGATTGTGAACAATTACAAATGTAACCCAGCCCATTAATCTATACAAGGCCGGATGTGGTGATCTCTTTATTATGGAGGCACCTAATAGGTGGGCCACCAACGCCTTTCCTATGAAGGGACAGACAGTTACAACCATGCCTTCTCCAGGACTCGAACCCAGGCCCTTCGGCATCGCAGTCAGCTTCCCTGACCACTATACCGACTGGGCGGCACCTGGCAAGTCATTATTTATTATATTTTGCTTTCATCACCGCATGTTCATCAATACACGACAGCTTCAGTAATAACTCATGCAGTGATGTCTAAACTTTTTTTTATACAGTCAAAAAGTCTTCAATCCGGAATGATCTATAATCCAGACATCAAAGCTACATACTTTCTGCACATGCGTAAATGCATTAATGCATTTACACATAATACCTTTACGCATGCACGTTTAATGTATAAGCTAAGCTCAAATTATCTAATTATCTACTTCAGTTAATGTTGCAGATTGCGTTGTTCCTTAATCTTCCAATTGGATCCGGCTTATTATTTTTTACACAATGTTAGAGGAATTTTATAAAAGTAAGCTTGAACTTTCGATTATGTCTAAAAGAATTTCCGATTGTGGAGCTGCCAAAGGATCTACAAAGCGAAAGCATGTTTCGATGTCCATCAAACAAAAAGTGGAATTGCTGCAAAAAATGGATAAAATGATGCAAAAGCAAAGTTTATAGTTATAAAAACATTTAGTAGAAGTAGCAATAGAAGCTCCCTAAGGTTATATACTGTGCAGACATTGAAGACAAAAGTTTTAAACTTACCATGTATTAACAATATATATATAAAAAGAAAACACAATGAATAAATTAAATCATATCAGAAACTTAAAGAGGTAACATAATCATTATAAAAATTACAGTAGTTGATCATTCATTAACCCCAGGTTTTTCCTTTAAAGAATATTACACTATAAAGATACAGTAAATATTTTACCTGATCTTTCAATACTGGCATTCAATATGAAAAAAAACATCACAGAACAAAACATGCGGTTATTATGAAATTCACTTCACTATCAATAAGTCCATGCTTTGTGGTCAGGAAGGCACCTGAAAAATTAAACTAAACCTTAAGAGCACTTGACCCGGCAAAGGCCGTTCACTATAGTTACACACGAGAGATCTCCTTTGTTTCTCTAACCATTGCGAAATCAATTTATCAATTTCACGCTGCTCTGTGGGGAGGGGGGGGAAACGTAGCAGCACGCAATGAACTGGAAGTTGATCTGTCAGCACTATCCTTATCTTCATGGCTGATGTTTTTATTTTATTCAGCTTATAATTCCTTACTAAATGTAGTATTTCATCTGATGTAGTCCATCTTTGATATGATTTAAATCAAATTCCTAGTCTTTATAAATATCACAAATACACATCAAATAGTTTTCTGGTTGCAATTTTCTAATTTCGACTATGTGTAATGTATGCACGCGTTGAAAGAAATGTTTAATAAATTTAACAAAAATTTAAGCTTTTTTTGTAAATTTTGATACCCTTTAGATCATAATTGCTCTTTATTTCATAAATTATGGTTTCATATTTTTAATTTTTATAATTTCTGCATGCCATCTTACCAGAATTAAACTGATGATCTATAATCCGGAATTACCGAAGTCCCGACGAGTCCAGATGAAAGACTTTTGACTGTATTAGCAATTGAATAACAAGAGTATGGCAATCTTTTATGCTAACATTACGCTTGGCGATGATTATACATTTTTGAATGCTCTAAGAAATGTTGACGAGGAAAAATTCAACAAAAATTTCTTTTCATATGCTAAAAATAGATTTTTTTCTTAATGAAATCATAGGCCAAAAGATTGCATTTAGTGCTATTTGAAATTAAGAATACATATATTATCTAAAATAAACCCAGGCACGGCGGCAGAATTTAAGGAAGACGAAATTTTTGGAATTTGGGGAAGCACCAAGCGGCAAAATTAAGGGATGAGAAGTTTTTTATGATTTAGGGAAAGCACTGGGATCCAAAGTTTAGGCGTGGTGAAAATTTAGAACTTAAGAAGGCACTTTGTAGCAGAATTTAGGAACTGTATAGACTGCACCAGGCGGTACTTAAGCGCCGGCCCTAGATGAAGCCTTAAGTATATGTGGGAGTTTATTTATTCAGGACTCAGATTAGTTTTAAGCATGTGCAAGAAATAAACGTAGGCATAGTAAATAACTAATACAATGAGATACATTCCGCAAGAGAAGAGGGAAAATGTGGTCATGTGTTTAAAAGCAATAACATCCGCATGTGCAATGTTTACAATGGAGTTGATAGCAGATACTCCGCTGAAATTAATTGATTTTTCAAATTTAGAAATTTATGGCTATTGAGAGAAATTAAAAAATATGCTTGGAAATGATTTTTCTTTTTTTGATGTCAACAAGTAGGGTCCTTTTGTTATTAAAGGAAAAACATGTGAACAATATTTGTTTCAAAGTAATGCCGGCTATCACAGTACTTATAACAAGCCGTCCGTGCAGAAATAAATTAATTATGAAACACCTGTGCAAATTTCTGCAGAAAAAGAGGTAAGATTTATAAATTTTTCTTATGTGTGATGCTTACAAGTATTAATAATGTTTTTTTTAAGAATATTAAGTATATATCAGTTAATTGAAAACTAGACCTTGAATAACGTTTCCCACACTTTTAAATGCAAGTGTAATAATAGTATATTCATAGTTCGTGAATAGTTGTTCTAAATTACTAAAATAGCCAAATTCAGGAAAGATCTGTTTATTTTCAAGAACATTAATACAAAACCAATTTTCTCCCATTAATGTTAATTAGTGTCATAGAACATTTTATGCTGCTAAAATTTTATTAATTTCATCAGGCTATGTTTTAATATTTTAGTTGTAATTGATTTTTAATGAATACACATAAATATCGGAACGTTAATTTTTTTTAATACCTTCCATTGTAGATATTAAAGATACCAACAGCTGTAATATTCGAAACATCAGTAATAATGAAACATTTTAATGTAAAAGGATGCTTTTATAAGAATTTATACATAATTCTAAATTTTCATGGGAGATTGCTGAGTTTTTTAGTTTAAATATTAAATTAGCATGTATATTTAATCCTTGAAAATCAGTGGTTGTGTAATATAATAATATTACACATATTACTTAAGTATATGCATTAGAATTCATAGTCCTATTTCATGGTATATCTTTTCAATAATACACTTAAAAATCTTTTTGACTACATGATTTAAAATAAAAATTCTGCACATAATTATACAACAAGATTAAAATAACTTCAAATTTATTTTTTGAGTATTTAAATGTATACAATAGTACATTTTTATTATTTATTATTAAAATGAAGAAAAATGTATTATGAAATTATTAGTTTCACAGCTAGTATTGCAGTAACTCAGTTGCACAAATCTCCAAAAATTTTTCTTTGTGACATTTATATTATAGTATACAAATTTGTTAATTTGCTTTATACTATCAATAGGATAATAGTCAATTGCTAAAATTAAATTTTTAAGTTTACAAAATTATATATTAATTTGAACTGCGCAGAACATTGGCATCGTTATTCTTACATGATTTAGGGCCAATTGCATTACAGTGCTCCGGAAATTTGACTATTACGGTTTTCAGAAACCAACTATTTACATTTACCGTTCTTCTGTAAAGCTGATGAAATTAATGACTTAAAAACATTAGAAACTTTCTTTTCAGTGTAGAAGAGCCTCTATGTAAACAGATTTAACGTATTCATTTCTAAATTTTTTAAATGAATTATTCAGATCAAGGAAAGAATTTATAAATAAATATTACAATCAAACATGGTAAAGCAGCGAGCAAAAGAGCATCATGAGGATAATAACATATGAGTTACCAAATTAACTAACCAATGAATGAACAGTTAATTAAGGATGAAAATAATAATTAAGATTCATGCAAATTTCATAACTAATTAAATAAACAAAGTTTCCGAATTTTCAACACATCTACCATAGCACAAGCTTGTTTGTTTACATTGCAGTTCTTACATCACGTGACCTTCAACCTCACCGGAATGTATCTCATTCAGGCTTAATTCA